AGATCAAAATACACCAAATCCATAAAGTTAATATACACATAAGTAAATATAAACTTTGGAAATCAACCCAACAATATGTATATGTTAATCAAAGGTGCTTAAAAGACTTAAAGAAGTATTTTGGACACTCAAAATATCAAGAGAAAGATTCACAGACCCAAACGGTCGACGCAAACGGTCGACCGTCGCGTTAAACATCGAAATGGACCCCGACTGTCAGACAAACGGTCGACCGCCAGTGGCCAACGGTCGACCGTCGCCTGTCCAGCCAAGTGCCTCCGTCCACCCCCAGTCAACAACGGTCGACTGCCGGTCAACCGCGGTCGACCGTCGCGGTGATCTGCCAGCCCGATACGATGAAGATCAAGGTCGACCGTCGCGCCAAACGGTCGACCGTTCCGAGCCCCGTAGCTTAATTAAATGATATTTTAATCATGTTTCATCCAAATAAACTAATGCATGATTATATATTCATATTGTTTACAAATTGTTCATGCCAGGAAGTACAATGAAGGCTTCCACAATATGATTCATCTCGAAATACTTATAGCAATTGCTGGAGACGGTGTACTCCGCACCATATGTTGGTCCATAGACCCCTCGTGTTGCTATATACCCTGGTATGAAACCTTTGACTCTACCACCATTATTATAGACCGTTGAAGCTACAGCTCCTTGAAGGCCAACGTTGCCTCCTCCGTAGGTAAGCCTAATTTTTCGCCTTACCAATTCACGTCCTAGATCAACCGCTGTAGCCATGAACCTTGGATTGCTACCAAGAGCATGACTACCAAGTAAAGCAACGAATCTTATGGTATTAGAAAGAGCTCGAGAAGTTCCTTCCATAATGTGAGAATGTTAGACGCTCTTGCCACAATTTGATATATATAGACTCTGAAACTAGACCATTGATGGAAAAGTAATTATCATCAGCCTAAAAACGTACAGGAAAGTGGATTTGCTCCAGACAAGAATGTACTCGCCAATACTATAGTCTGCTGACGACATGACATATTGAGACTCATGAATAGTTAGGCTCGTTGTCCCTAAATACATTTAAATCCGAGACGAAAAGTCAAAATGACTACTTCCCTAGAGAATGACTTTTTGAGTAATTTCCAAAGGGCGAAACATTGAGTGGTAATTCGCAAATGTTATCTTTGTATCTTGTGATTCGCATCCTTGAAATACTAAAACTTGCTGTGTTAATTACACACTTGAAGCATCTCATTTGATCAATCTTGAAAAGATTGAATTCCATTTTCTGTATCAAATCATTAAAGAACTTGTTGTAACTCATGACTCTCCCTCAAAACCAAAAAAGATGTTTTATGATACCGACCTTCAAAAACCATACTCTGTAACGATTGATGTGACTACGTTATCTATAAAAATTATTATCAATGATGATCAAGCAACTCTGCTTTAACCCTAACAAAGGAACATATGTGCAACAACTAGAAAGGAAAAGTTGTCATTTGTGTGGTGAATATGACCACACTGAAGGTAAATGTGATCTCCACTTAAGTCAATTGGGCGGACCATCAAGACAAACCACACATATGTCAGTAGAATCCCAAACATATTGGAATATAACTATGTGTATAACTTATCATGTTTTTGGTAATAAGTAATGCAACTATTGTGTGAAGTAAGAATATTAGTGATATGAAGAATACACTAATATTATTCGAGCATGAAGCTCTTTCATAATTATTGAGAAAGTCTGAAATTCCAAGGCAATTCTTGAATCATCAATCAGAAAATCAGTATTCAAGAATGACTATATATCATCTTGATAATACAAACAGTGACAAAATGACAACTGTTATCAAAATATTCATCCAATCATTACAATGTGATAAAAACATATATTATTGTTATATATAAGTGTGATATATTTGTTAACTATTACAAATAAGCTTTGGTTAGCTTATTGACATCATGTTAGCCAGAGCAACTCCATTAAGGATCGCTAAATGAGAGTTCAGATTTTGAAACAATAATTACATATTCATCCAAGAAACTTAGAATGATGGCTATGGTAATAGTCATTCTCCAAAATACTGTTATGTAAAAACGTCAAATTTCGAAACAATCTGTTCCAACTCGTAAACAACAAAGTGTAATTTGTGAAAACCAACATTCCAGACAAAGTCGTCTGAGAATGATTCTTGAAGAATTGCAAAAAGAGGAATTTTGCAAGTTACCCCACATTCACGAAATGCAACCCATGCAAGAACTCTTGAAAACTCCTACAACACGATAAGAGCAAGTCTAAGAGTATATTCGACACAAGTCTTCATGAAAGAAATCCAAACACATTACATCTATCATCCGCGTATATCCTTTCTCAAAAGAGAAAATGTCATACTCATGACACTCAACAAAAGAAAGAGAAAACAAATTCTCAAAATTAAAGTTTTACAAAAACAATGGAAATTCATGATTCTGTACATCATCATTTAAATGACTTCTCACCTAGGGAAATTTCGAGTACGAAATTTCTTTAAGGGGGGAAGAAATGTAACGCCACGAAACATGGCCTAAATTTTATAAAACAAAAGTAGTTTTGAATATTTTTGTCCAATAAGAAACATTTATACGTTTGACTAAAAATAAATGGATTTTCAAAATAATGACTTTTTATTAAAAACTTACTTGTAGTCCCGGACGATACGAATCCAGCCCAACAAACGGCTCGCGATTTCGTTATGTAACGAAGAAGATATGGCCAAAATACCGGGATTGCGCCAGTGGTGGCGAGCTCCTCGGGTTGGCATGTGTTTCTTCACCAAATTCATATTATTTCATTCCAAATACTTACCATAAACTCTCTAACAATTATTAGGAACATCCGGAAGATATGCCCAAAATACCATAGGCTGTCCATTTATGATGGAAATGACAAAGTTGGCGAATTTCGATGTTGTTTTCACTCTCGCTCATCTGTAAGGTTTCAGCCGATGATTTCCAGGTCTGTACCCTTGCGTTAGACTTGTCGAATCATTCATCACATACATACATAAACATATATGTTATTTCATATGTTAAAACCATTCCAAAATATATATGTGATGCATATATAACTTATCTATATGTTGAGATCAAAATACACCAAATTTATAAAGTTAATATACACATAAGTAAATATACACTTTGGAAATCAACCCAACAATATGTATATGTTAATCAAAGGTGCTTAAAAGACTTAAAGAAGTATTTTGGACACTCAAAATATCAAGAGAAAGATTCGCAGACCCAAACAGTCGACGCAAACGGTCGACCGTCGCGTTAAACATCGAAATGGACCCCGACTGTCAGACAAACGGTCGACCACCGGTGGCCAACGGTTGATTGTCGCCTGTCCAGCCAAGTGCCGCCGTCCACCCCCAGTCAACAACGGTCGACCGTCGCGGTGATCCGCCAGCCCGATACGATGAAGATCAAGGTCGACCGTCACGCCAAACGGTCGACCATTCCGAGCCCCGTAGCTTAATTAAATGATATTTTAATCATGTTTCATCCAAATAAACTAATGCATGATTATATATTCATATTGTTTACAAATTGTTCATGCCATATCATTCATTTCATCACACATATTGTAGCATATCATATCATATGCATGCGTAAGAAATCATGCGTAATTGCGTCTCTTATAGCGTGATGTGCGGGACTTACTAGTCCGACATCACCCGTTCCGAGCTTAGTGTACGTACATGGTATTCAGGTTTCGAGTACCACCCCTATTTTTCTAGTCTCACCTCATTCGTGAGACTAAGGTGGCGTGAATTCGTCGCACAACCTGGGCGAATCTCATAGCGCAAGGGTCGTCCTTGCACGTTTAGGTTCATGCATCATGTTATCATCATCAAGTACATTGATTACATAGGTGTCATGTAATCATCATCAAGAACAATCAAATTGATTAAATGTGAAATCATGTTATCATCATCAAGTACATTGATTACATAGGTGTCATGTAATCATCATCAAGAACAATTATATTGATTACATAAGTGTCATGTAATCATCATCAAGAATAATTATATTGATTAAATATGCCATCAGGCAATCATCATTAAATGTCCACCATCATAAATCATCAAATTGAACATATGATATAATGTGTCATATCATGAATATTATTATACATTTTGTGGATGTATATATATGTATATGTATATGTCTATTAATTGTTCTACAATTCTAGTGTGGTACCACTCAGCGGTTTCGTTGAGCGTGTAGTTTGTATTTTTCGTTGACTACACGTAGGTAACAAGAGGACAATGACTGAACCACTCCCGGAGGGCATTGAGTCAGAGGAGATGCAAGGATGGCAGGCAAATGTTGATCATCAGATTTTTAAATGTGTCATGATTTGATCATTATTGTACTTCCGCATTACTCTGAAAATATTTTTTTAAATGGTTCGCGATCCAGAGTCTGTAAATTTGATATTTATAAGTAATTGTCATTTTCAAATGTCAAGCGAAATTTTTAATTAACTCTCGTTTCACCTTAATTCGTGTAATTCTGGGTTATACGGATTGGGGTGTTACACACCATGTTGCAAAAATGAGAAAATTGATGGGTATAATAGTTGAATATTTGATGTGTTTTGCTAATTTCACTAGTTTATGATATTTCCTGTGTTTTCAGTTGTTTCGTGTTGTAGTTCATTTACATGAGTTGTATATTGTTTCCCATTTCTTTTTAAATACTTTTGCACATAAACTGTTTGTGAAAATGCCCAAAGAAAACCAAGTGCAATTTGAAACTACGAATAGTAGTTGAACGAAAGTCTTTTTTATCTTTAAATGCATAACATACGCTCTTGATATGCATGTCAAAGTATACAAGATGCGTTGTATCACATTGAAAATGGAAAACAAAGAGCATTTTTAAAATTAAGATAATGCATTTGCAAATCAGAGTGTCCCATAAAGGATGAATCGGAGGGGTACTCTAATTTATTATTCAATGTGTTCACGTCCATTAAAGTGACATTGTGCTACTTCTTGTGTTTTCAATTAGTGTGAGCTATGCTTCAATTGCATTAGTTGTCTTTTGTTGTCTATTCAAATTTTCTTTTATTATAAATTTGTGTTCTTGTGCAAGATATAGAGGAATCTATGAAAAAACGAATTGATGCCTATTAGCTCAAATGGTAGAGCAGTATGTAGTACGGATGTATGTTCGAATCCTACATAGGCAAATGTATTTTCGAATTTACTTTACACTTTCTCAAAAGTCGCTGCTTATATAGATTTCAAATTTGGGGCTTATTTGCTTCTATTATGAATACATGTATTTTTGGCTTTTGCTTTGTTTTGATTCTGCCTAATAGCTATTTGTAAATGTATAGTTGGAGTTTGCAAGTGTAGGAATGGGCAGCAGGGTCTTCAGTTTTTCAATATGTTGTCATAACAGCTTAACCAACAAGCTGAGAACATGTTTATGTTACTTTGCATTCGCAAACTAACGCTAATGCATTCTAAGATCAACACAATGCACTTACAAATCACAGTCCCTATTTTCACCATTGAATTTCTTACAACACAATGACATCAAATTAGATTAAATATAATATATTCCATGACTTTCTCATCACACAAAAACTCACACAGCAGTCATAGTTTACTAACACAAAAAATATTAGAATAATAATCAAATAAAATCAAAGGGTAAGAAATTAGAATATACTAGCTATCAAAGTGCATTCTGAGTGGAGGTGGAACGCATATGCTATCTATCAAAATGCATTCTGATTTCTGAGTGGAGGTAGAATGCATATGCTAGGTATCACAATGCATTCTGTTTGTAAGTAAAACATTAAATAAAAAGAGGGACATTTAAAAATGCACTACATCCTATTTTAACACACCCTTTTAAATTGTTCAATCATTACCTTTTTTAGCGCATCATTACTTTACACAATTGCCCCTGGTCATCAAACTTACAATATCTACCTATTTTAACGCTAATGCAGCATTTATTACCAAAAATTAAGCCATGTAAAAAAAAGCAGGCTTATAAAATTAGGAGCCATTAGATGCACTTGATCCAATGGTCAAGATTTATTCTCATTTCTTTCATGGAGACTCATTCTCGTGTGAACCGGCCCCTATATATATATATATATATATATATATATATATATATATATATATATATATATATATATATATATATATATATATATATATATATATATATATATATATATATATATATATATATATATATATATATATATATATATATATATATATATATATATATATCTGTGTGTGGGTGTGTGTATTTAAAGAAGAATTTTATTTCATACGAATAAAAGAAGTTGTTACATCACATGCAATGGCTCCCCTAAAGCGTTTTGGGAGTGAAACTAGTGAATGAAAATTACTGAAGTTATTCTCTTGCAAAGCGTGTTGTGCCAGATGATGTGCCACCATATTAGCTTCTCTAAAGATATGATTGACCCGTCCCCCAGACCGATTTATCATTTCTCTTGTCATCCTTGTGAAGAAATCATTGTTGGAGAAGTTTGTTAAATTGTTTGCGCAACTTTTGGAGTCAATATAGAGATTGACCGGGCAGTTAAGAAACGGACTTCTGCGTACTCCTTCGTATGCTGCCTCCATTTCTGTCTCAGCTGGTTGGAGATTTGGATGAAGAGGATAGGTCCAAGCAATGAGGAATTGGCCATGCCTTGTGCGCAGGATGCTGGCTCCAGCTGATCTTCCCTCTATGATTGTTGTGTCCGTTGTAAGTGTAACACCAGTGGCTGGGAATACCCATCGATGTACAGTGATTGCGCCCATCCTAATTGAAGGTAACCTTTCATAAATTCTGATATCCGGTGTTGTTTTTCCCTTATGGTGGATGAAAATCCATTCGTAGATCTGTTTTGTGATGATTGTAATTGTCTGTGTCAAGGTGTGTTCTTCTTCCTCGTAAATCCTCTTGTTTCTTTCTTTCCATATCTCATAGGTTATGATTCCTGGAATGATTTTGAGGAGTTCTTTGTTGAGTTTTTTCAGTTCCCCTTGTTTCCACCAGTTTGTCAAGTAGGTTAGGATTCCATGGCTGGTATTCCTGCAAATTGAAAATATCTGTTCAAAGTAGTTCCAGATTTGGTTGCTGAATGGGCAGTTCTTGAATAGGTGGGTGGTAGTCTCCTCATTGTTCCTGCACAAGAAACAAATAGAGGGGAGTTGAAGTCCCAATCTAGTTAGTGAGTGGGGAAGGGGGAGGTAGCCAAAACACAATTTCCAAAGGAAGATAGAGTGTTTCGGGTTTTGTTTTGGAATCCAGGAAAGTTTAGTGAAGGGGTGAATGGGATTTTTCTCTCTCAAAGAATTCTTTGCCTTCTTTAAGCTGAAACCAACCTCTCCATTATGCCAGTAGACTGAGTCAATGATTTTTGGGGCTATGGAAAGACCCCTAGGGTATCTAGCCCTCATGAAGTTTGCCCAAAGGGAGTTGTTCTGAGTATATGTCCACCACATTTTGAAACCATAGGCTAGTTGAAGTGTATTGAGATCAGTGATTCCCAACCCACCCTCATCCTTAGGAAAGCATAGCTTCTCCCAAGAGGACCAGTGGTACTTCTTGTTGTCTTTGTCATGTCCCCAAAGAAAGTTATTCATTTTGGAATGTAGACATTTGATGATGCTCTTAGGGAGTTTACTGCAGCCCAACATGTGAAGTGGCATGGTGTTTAGGACATGCTTGATGAGGGTTAACCTCCCACTCTGACTAAGCAGCTTATGGTACCATCATTTAAGTTTAGAGTCAAACAAGTTGAGGATGTCATGGCAGTAGGGTTTTCTGTTGATTCCATGATGGATTTGGATGCCCAAGTATTTGAAGGGTAGGCTGCCTTTGTTCATTCCCAATATGGTTTGAATTCTTCTTTGGGTAGCAAGGGGG